ATGCAAAGTATGTGGTAATTGACTGTTTATGTTATAGGTAAAGTTTTTGGTTCACAGTATAGTATTAGTAAAGTTTTGGGGGAGTCAAAATTTACATGCATATTTTCAGCTCTCTGGGGAGTCAGCGCCCCTAACCCCTGTATTGTTCAAGGGTCAATTGTATATACATATACATGCACATATATGTATGTATGCAAAAAATCTGTAAAAAAGAAGATATGTCATTTAGACTATATTTATTTTTAAGTAATTATTAATAAACACAAATAAGCTAAATAGCTTAATGCCCCCAACCTAAATTTATAAAGGAATTGTTTCATTTTACTGTGATTTTTGTCAGAAGTGAATATGGGTATATTTTTTCTAACCATATAGCATATTTCATTTATACCCTTTTATATTCATTAGTCTTTATTTCTCACAAAAGACAAATGCTTTGTGTAATTAAAGACCAGAATCATTATTTCAATTTTTAGTATTTTTAAAATCACAAGAGTAATAGAACAGAAAATTTGAAATGCAGAAATAAATGAAAGACAGTTTATCAATAAATTTTGCAATCATTACAGGTTTTTCATAATGCACTTTACTTGGGACAAACCCCATACTGCTTTACGTCCTGCTTTGTTCATTTAACTTTTATCGTTATCATTTGTCCAAGTTGCTACATAGTCTTCACGACTATCATTTTTAATGGTTGACTGGTATTCCTTTGTGTGTAAAAGCCATAGTCTTACACATTCTCCTGTCACTCATTAGATTCAACTTGAAGCAAATTTAACTATCAGGATTACTGCAAGATCTAAATTTACCCATAGCTCATGTCAATGTGTCTAATAAACCATAGCAATTTTCTCTCTTTCGCCCCTTCTGTCCTTTGTTTGTTAGATGCAGCAATGGTACCCAAAATCAAACACATGTACTTTACATATTACATAGGAATTTATCACAGTTAATAATTACGTCTAGGAAGTGAGAGCATTTGATTGTCGGTAAGCACCATGCAACGCCTGTAGTAGGCTAACTATAAAATACGCTGCCTGACCTTTAGCCTTCTACCATCCTGCCCAGTCAAGATTAACCCATCTCTTCTTTCCTATAGCCATGTGTTAGAATCGTTCTCAGAGAGCTCATCCCTTTCTACTGCCAGTTACATTCAGTTCTGTGCATGCTCCAGCCCCCTCCACCCTCAACCATAAGATCTTGGTGGGCAGGAATGGCTTTGGGATTTTTAGTGGTCCCTGGATTGCTGATTCAATACCCTCTGTGCAGCCAATGTCCACCGGATGTTATGATACCACTTCTGTTTTCATTTGTAATGTTTGCAAAGGCAATATTGGGAAAGCACAAAGATGTTAAAGCTGTTTACTCTCGTTTTTCTTCCTCCAGTGGGATGGAGTAGGACCTCTTCCAGACTGTGCTGAACCACCAAAAGGGATCCAGATGCTGTGGCACCCATCAGTAGTCAAACCCTACCTCACACTGCTCTCCGAGTGCTCAAACCCAGACACGCTGGAAGGGGCGGCAGGCGCCCTGCAGAACCTGGCTGCAGGGAGCTGGAAGGTACGGCCGGTCCATTACAGTAAAAAGAAACCTGGGATGACAAGCAAGTCCTTAGACAATAATAAAAGTCTGCTGTCAAGAAATGCAATTCCAATAAAAATGTTAAGGACTTAGCGAAAAACCAATTATATTGAACTGCCGGACTTAGAAAGGTATTCCTTTTAAGAATTCTTCTTCGGGGCTCAGGAGTCCTTGAAGGCCACTAAAAGCACAAGAATAGATGTGAGTATAGTCACTGAAAATGCTGTGAAATGCTTTCCACTCTGTGTAGCTGAGCTACTTGGTCTTCAGGAATAATTGTGACATGTTGATGTTTTCAAAGCACTATCATTGACTGTTCAGGGAGCTAATACCCAAATACCTTGTGTAAAAACCAATGTAAACACTGAAAATGTTCTACCAGGTCCCAGCCCCCAAAGGAAAGAACCCCTTGCATTTTTAAGTTATGGGCTTAGAGAAGCATAGTATTGTTAGTTATCTTTGGCAAAAAATATTAAAGCAAATGTGTGATTGGGAGGAGAATAGGACCATTTTCTCTGAGTCTATATAGACACACACTATTGCTGAATGACTTTCACAGAAAATTCTCATGACCCTGATTTTGGATAGAAAGAGGTTCGCCATAACAAAGAATTCTTGAGTGTGGTCCCTAATAGTTACACGAGCTGACTTGCCTTGTTGCATAAAAAACTGTGACCTCTTAGAAGAACGAGGGCATATGGGGAAAATACCAAGAAAGAAAGTTTGAACTTCTGCCATCCATGTTCCATTCATTTAAAATCAAAGCCTGGGATTTGGGATAATCATAAATCACTCTTTTCCTTGACGTTTTCTTCAAAATGACATTAACATAGACACATTGCTATAGATAATTTTCAGAAGATCAGCACCATAGGTGGCACACATGCTGGCCTCAGCATCACTGTGTAACTACACTTTCCCTTTGGCTTATGCCTCCCTGTGTCTGTCTTCTTGTCACTTTTCTTTCTCTGTCATCCTTTGTTTCCATAGCTACAGTCCAAGCCACAGCACTTCCTTCTCTCTCAGCTGTGACATTCCAGATCATGAGGCCCAGCCCCCGACATCTCTTCCCACAAAATGGCTAGTGATGCTGGGCAGACCCACCTCTTCTCTTGAGAGCCTTAGTAATGAACATGTGTCCCTGCCCCTACCCCCACCCATAAGGCATCCCTAAAGTTGTACCTATAGAATGCAGGTTGGGCTGGGCTTGAAGTGAAGATTTCTCTTGCTTTCAACCAGAGATTGGTGGAGAAATGGTTCAAAAGCAGTATGGCACCAGGCAGAAGTCCAGAGCATAGCCCTATGTGACAAGGAAAGAGATAATGGAAGTCACTTACATGAACTGGCCCTTAGATCTTATGTCCCTTTAAACTTAGCATGGTCTAGGAAGCCTTGACTCAAATCACAGTTCACACCTAGCTAGGCTCTCCCTTTTCTGAGCTTTGTGAGCCTGGGAAAATTACAGCACCTCACTGTGTCTCAGATGTGTCATCTTTAAACAGAGAAGACTGTGGCTTACTCACTCTACATCGTGCAGATCAATCACGACACTAGATGCAAAGATCTGACACTAGAAGCAAGATGTCATAGGCCAAGGGGCTGTCACTGATGTAACCAAGCGTACTCACGTGCCCTGCCCAGCTCTACTGCCTCGCAGCACTGACAGCATGGACATGGACAGTGGGCTCTGGGCTTCAGGCATGAGTCTGACTTGAGGCCCAAAGATCTAGGTGGTGGCAAGTCAATTGTGCTATCTGAAGATACAATTTGTTTTGTTACCAATTATCATTTTTTTGAGAAATACTTAGGTCTTTATCCGAACAATTTTTTTTGACCGGTAAGGGGATCGCAACCCTCAGCACAGTGTGGTCTGCACCACGCTCAGCCAGTGAGTGCACCGACCATCCCTTATATAGGATCCAAACCCGCGGCCTTGGCGCTACCAGCGCCACACTCTCCCGAGTGAGCCATGGGGCTGGCCCCAGAACAATTTTTTTAATGTGCAAACTTTTATTAAAATGATTAATCATAGTCCCAAAAGAGATATTTGCCAAAGAACCTACTGTTACATGAACTGCAACTTTCGGGTTTTTTGTTGGGTTTTTTTCATTTTCTCTTTTTCTCAGTGCTAAAAGGGAAATTTATTTAATGTAAATGTACACACTAAGAAAAAAGAAAGATCTCAAATCAACAATGACTTTGCAACTTAAGAAACTAGGAGATGAAGAGCAAACTAGGCCCAGACCTGGAAAGGGAGTAAATAATAAAAATCAGAGCATAGATGAAAGAAATAAAAAATAGAAAAAAAAAAAAAATAGAGAAAATCAATGAAACCAAAGTTGATACTTTGAAAAGATTCACAAAATTGACTAACCTTTACCTAGATGGACTAAGAAAAAAGACAGAAAACTCTAATAACTAAAATCAGAAATGAAAAAGGAGTCACAACCAAATTTACAGAAATCAAAAGGATTATAAGAGAATACTATGATGGAGAAATGTCTTTGGGCTCTGAAAGATTTTAGATGCAAGATGTCAACCTTTAAACTCTATACACTGTGTGTTCAAAAAGCTAAGTAGGCATTGGAAAAATTTATAAAAGACCCACGTCAAACCTCTAGAGTTGAAAATATGATGTCTGAAACAAAAACTATGTGGAGTGGGAATCACAGCATATTAGATAGTGCAAAAGAAAAGATGAGTGAACTTGAAGACAGCAATGGAAACTGTACTGTCCAAAATGAAACACAGAGAAAAAAGAAACAAATACACATAGTGCATCAGTGAGTGGTCTGATATACTCATATGTGTAATTAGAGTCCCCAAACAAGGGAAGAGAGAAAGGAGAAAGAACCCAGAAAAAATTATTTAAAGAAATAATGGTTGAAAATTTTTCAGATTTAATGAAAATCAGAAACTCACAGATCCAAGCAGCTCAAGGAACCCCAAGCATAAGAAACATGAAAAAACTATACCAAGGTATATTATAATCAAATTGCTCAAAATTAATAATAAAGAGAAAATCTTAAAAGCAGCCTGATAAAAAAGAGACATGTTATGTATAAAGAACTGCACCACATCTAAATGTCAAATTTAAGGTTCAGTGTCACCAATTATTCATTCATTTATACAGTGAGTCCTTACTGAGCTGAGACTGTCCTCTAGAAAAGAATCTGGTCTGTCAGCCCCTTAAGGGCGGAAGCCAAGTCCCATTTATCTCCTTTTATCCCACTACTAAGCCCAGTGCTTGGTTGAGCAGAAATGCTCAAACAGAAGTGTTTAACTCAACTAGTATTTATGTTCACATGTCTTTCTTGTAGGTAAGTCTTTTTTATTTATAAACATCTCACCAGTCAATATGAATTTAGTAGCACCTATTATAGATCAGGCCATTCTCAGTCACATTTTATGATTCTTTATTTGGTTCTTTGATTCGGATGGGAAGATGCTGTCAATACAATATAAAATTGGTAGAAAAGAGCTGCGAGAGAACCATTTTCTTTTCAGCATCTGAACTCAGCAGTACTTTTCAGGCTGCAGATTTCAGTAGCACTGCCCAGTTCTGTAGTCTTTACCTCTTATAATGTTGAACTTTCTGTTTAAGTTACCAGGCTCTGGGTCCCAGAGGCAGCCAGGTCAGCTGGAAGAGCTGCTGAGATAAGTCTGGGTATTTAGGTATTTGGAGTAAGCAAATGATAAGCTTTAAAAAAATTGCTATTTTTATATTTTCAAATTCTCTCCTCCTTTGGATTATATAATGAGAATTAGGAAAAAAGTACGATAATCATTCTTAGTATTTTCTGGCAATAACATCGTGCTGCCTGTTTTCAGCACATAAACCTATATGTTAGTTCAGCACAGTTATCCCCAGTGTGAAATTTATCCCCCCATATCCAGAGGACATTTATTTGATGAATTTTTCTACTACTAATAGAGTAGATACTACTAAGAAGGAGGTAGAAGGGTCTGGAATAGTCAAAGTCAACATCACAAAAGCTGTTCTGTGATTTCGATAAAGTATAACTATGATCATCAGATTCTCCAGTCCACATTGGATTTTAAGCAACAAATTAGAAAACCAAGGAGTACCTTTTATAAGCAGACACACAGATCCACCATAAGAAGGGAGAGTGGACACCCTGACAGCAAAGAGAGAACATAGAAGAGTTAGAAAAAGTAAATATAAGGATGTGAAAAAGAAAAATCATTCCATGTCTTGGCTATTCCATATATTCTAACAACTGGAAGTCAGAATACCAACCTTCTGCCACAAGAGAATTGTTTTTTGATATTATTATTGTTTTGTCTTTGTTTTTGTTTTGGCAGCTGGCTGGTTCGGGGATCTAAACCCGTGACCTTGGTATTACAAAGCTGTGCTCTAACCAACTGAGCTAACCGGCCAGCCCAAGAAAATGTTAAATTATTGCTGGTAATTTTAGAAGACAGAAAGGATTTTAGAAAGATTTGCATCCCAATGGTTACAGAAGAATTTTTGACTCTTAGGATGTTAGTCTTACTTTTAAGAAGCACTGGCTTCCCTAAAAATTCTAGACAAATGAGATAGTCTTCAGCCACGCAAGGGGCTGCTAAGGAATATTTGTGTGTAGTTCTAAGTATATACATACTGATGTAAGAATTTTCTTATCAAAATACAAATACACAAGCATGTATAGGAGTCAGTCACATTATCATCTATCGTATAATTTATTAATTTGCCATATTACCTGGGAAGGAAGGGTGGACAATTCAGAGGGAAGATTTGAGAAGATTATCATTATGCCAAACTCTGATAAATTATTATAATTTCAAGAAGACTAAGAATGACTTGCATATAAACCAAGCAGAAAAATCTTCACTTAAAAAAAGATGATTTCAGGAAAAAAATCTTGAATAATTAGAGATTGATTTAGGATACACAACAGCATCAAGTTTTACAGTACAGTGTTACCATCTGAAATCTAGAGTCCTAACAGGGTGTT